AAAAAAAAAAAAAAAAAAAAAGAAGGAAAGGTAGGGCCATTTCAGGTAAGGAAATCTGTTTTAAATTTGCCTAGGAACTTGCTGAATTCTTTTTAAGGAACCTATGTTTTTCATCAATTTTACAGCTTTTATATAAGAGCAATTTTACCAAAATTAATTTTTGTTAAGAGAGATCAATTTAAAACAGTATATAAAAGTGAGAAGCCTAAATGAATTGCTTTGATTTTCTCAATGATCTTAATAATGTGTAATACAGTAAGAACCTGACCTTTTTATGGCATGCAAAAGGCTATTTCAAACAAGGTTACTACTTGAGGTCTGCTTGAGTTTAGTAAATTGAGTTCTGCTTGAAGGTGTTGTCAGTGAGAATTGTGGTCGTTTAATCTAATAACTTCAGAGCAAAAGCATGCATCTTTCGTGCTAGAAAATTTTTAATATTGAGCGATCTTTAGGATGCACTGCTGAAGGGTCAGCTAAGCAGGCTTAGTTAGAGGTTTACTTTGCAGTTCACATCAGCATGTAGCTCCATTTATACCATGTGCATTATAATAGTGAACTGAAGCAGAAGTCTTTATTTTTTGGAATAAATGTGCTACATGACAAAAGTTCCATATATTTGGTTATTATAAAGCCAATTCAATTTTTATATAATGAAATGTATTTTTAGTAAGAAAAAGAATATATTATGACAAATTTCTGAATGCCATAGAATATAAATAGGTAGATTGTTGGTCTACATTTCTATCCATTATAAATTATAAATTGATCCTGTGTATCTTTTATAGGCTTTTCCCGGAAAAGTTGAAATGGGAAGATAAATTTAAACTGAAAAGTGTGTTTTAGAATTTTCATGTTTAGCGTGAAAATTTACTGTAATAAAATAGAATCATGTAATATAAAAATATACCCAATAATATAAATATATAATGTTTATGTATTTAAAAATAAAAATATAAAGTGTTTTCTTATATTTATAGTATATAATAATGAAACAAAACATTACAACTTTATTATTTTTAATTATTCTTACTTGAGAGAGTGTGGTACTTGTAACACCAAGGTCAAGGGTTTGGATACCTGTACTGGCCAGCGGCCCCACTCCCCCCACCTCACCCCCAAAATTATTGGATAATACGTATTTTAGGGTTCTTTATAGTTACATACATTTATGCAGGATAATGGTTATAAAGTAGAATTAAGAATAAATGAGCAGCTCTTTGCCTTTGAATTGCCAAAAGATGGAGTTTATAGTTTTCCTTTGGCTTTTAAATAGTTTTTAATAGAATCCTTTCTAATTTATAACTGGTGTCACCATCATCTGAACTTTTATTTTGGCAAAGTGTGACTTTTTACATTTATTTCCTACGTGTAACATTTTGACTTTTTTGCAGATGGTAAATTAATTCTCACCAAAGTATCATAAAATAATAAAATAGCCTTTAAAATTTCTAAAATACTTATCTAATATAGGTCAATTATTGTTAAAAATCTTCTAAATCTAAATTGGTTTGAAAAAATTAATAAAAAATAATTTCAGTTGATGGTTCCATTGTTCTCTGATACGAAATCACACTGGGCAATGTAAAGAAAGAATATCTGTGGCATAATTCATGTAGATTTTCAACAGGTCAATTTGAAACTAGAAGAGGAAAAGAAAACTGACTTAATAGATTAGTTACTCCGTAGGAAATAAAGGAAGTTATTCTAAATGGGGTAGAAAAGGAAACATAATTGGAATGAATGCTTTAGTGCAATGCCTAAGATGCCTTAGGAAGTATCTCTTGTTAATAACAAACAATTTGGCTGTGGTATTATAAGACATACATTTTCTGAAATACCAGACCAGGTTTTAGAAGCACATAGCAACTCAAATGATTCTTTAAAAAAATTTTTTCTTATATAAATCTTAATTATACAAAATATTCTAGCTGCTGTAATTTTTTTTTTTTCTGGTCAGATTACTTAGTATTAAGTTTGCCTTGTGTTGCATGTCTTTTGGAAAACTGCAGTTACGAAAAACTAGAAGCTTAGTTTACTTCTGAGTTTTCCTGTAAAAAAAAAAATCTAACTTAGTTCCTAACAGAGTATATTGGATGGTTTTAAAATCTTATTGTTCAGGAAAATGGCTACTAAATGTGAAAACTTATTTTCTGTGCTTTATTATGAGAGACTGACAAAAAATAAAAAGTTAAGTCCTAAGTATAAAAGTAAATGATCTACCTAATAGTATCCACATTGTACTTTGGAGCCTTTAGCAATATAGGATTACTAAATATCTTGTACTTACTATAAACTTCATATTTTCAAAGGATGGGTATAATAATAAGGTCCTTGAGGGTAATTAAATGGTTTCTTTGTTGTTTTTTGTTTTAGTTTAGTACAATTTAAAACTATTTGAATTTTTAAGAGTTTTGTCAGATACCACGGGTTACTGAATTCTTAAAATGAAATCTGTTTTGTTCTTGGAACCTTTAGTTACTGTTTAAAGAGAAATATTTGTGGTATAGTTTATACTCCATTGTACCTTTATAGATGTGGAAGTTGGATTATATCTTTCCAAGGATGCAGGAATTTTGGACACTTGCCTTTAATCCTGAAATTGTCATTAATTTTTCCTTTTGTAGTTCACTCTCTATATAATACTTTTAGGGCTAACCAGCTATCATAGTATGCAAAAAAAACTAACATCTAAAAAAACAGGGTTACTCAAGGTAGAGGAGTCATCATTTTTCATCTCAAAATATTTCTTCTTTACTTTGTGCCCCCTTTCCTCTGATAGAGCTGTTAAATCATTCTTAGGATCTCAGTTTTTACTAACTTTTCACTCAAAAAAATTCATACTTAAGGTCTAAGAATGAGACCATTTCATTGATATGTAAAAGGATGTATTGCTTATGCAATGAGGGGCAGGGCTAGCTAACCTCTCTTGGCACCTCCAGGAAACTACCCAGCTCTGCTGGGGGAGCTGCACACAGAAAAGGAAACAGTAACTACTCCACGGTGAGTAACCCTGTTTTCTCCTTATTTCACCTTCTGACTGTTTTCATTAATTTTTAAAAGCTTGTGTGTCAGACATGGAAATAGTTCCTATTTTCAGAGTTAATTTTATATCTAGCAGTATGTAAGATTTCTATTTAGCAACTCTTTGTTCACATGGTAGAGTAAGAACCCGCTTTTCATTTGCATTTATAGCTGCTACTGATACCCTGGATTGAATTTGATAATAGAACACAGAAATAGGCCAATTGTCTCTTGTGAAACACTTGTACCTTGAAGGGGAAAAAATCTATTAGTGGCATGGCTTTATGTCTTTTCTGTTTCTTTTTATTTGGGAGGGGAGGGATTATTGGGAATGAGAAAATAAAATCTATTAGTGGCATGGCTTTATGTCTTTTCTGTTTCTTTTTATTTGGGAGGGGAGGGAATTGGGAATGAGAAAATGTTATACAACAGAAGAATTTTATATTATTGTCTCCAGCTGTTTCATGACAATTCACCTAGTCTTTATTTGTGTATTTGATTTATATTTTGATTTTTTAGTCATTCCTTCCTTTTCCACCATCCTTTCTTTCCCACCAGTGATTATTTTCATAGTTCTACTCTAATCAGATCTAAAGAAGATGGTCATCTAGTGGTACAAAAACATAGTTGTGGAAAATTCATAGGTATTTTTTTAGTGGCACAAATATTTTAACACATTTTGTTATGCATTAGGTGGCCTGGTGTTATCTAGGAACAGTGAAGCCGATTTAACTTTATTATTACTGTATACATGGTATTATTTGCAATGTGTTGGAATTATTTTTCATAATTGTATTTAGTTCCTGAGGTCAAATGATACTACTTTTTGTAAAATGAACCAGTGAATGAGTAGAATAAATTACACATGAGGCAGGGGAGTGATGATATTTGAGTTAAATTATAGATATTGCTACTATAGCTTTTTTTTTTTTTTTGTCTTTTTTCGTGACCGGCAACGGATCGCAACCCTCAGTGTCGCGCCCGTACCGGACCGGGACCGGCAACGGGATCGCAACCCTCAGTGTTGCCCCCGCTCCTCGCTCAGCCAGTGAGCGGCCAGTCCGTATGCGGGATCCGAACCCTCGGCGGGAGCGCCGCCGCGCTTCCCAAGCGGCACACTGCAGCAGTGCACCACCGGGCCGGCCCGCTACTATAGCTTTTGATCAGAATATAGATCTGTGAGTGTTGATTCACCGTGTCTGTTCAGCTAGGATTATGTGCATATCTGAAAGTTACCAGAGTAGTTTTAAATATCAGAGAATACAGCCCGAGCACACCTATAACATGGCTGCAAAGAGATAAAAACCATAAAGTCTTACTTAGGTAATGGATAGAGATTTCTTTTAGAAAATCATTCTCCTGAAGATCAGAAGAAATATTTACTGTAAATATTTATATTTGCTGAGAAACATTTAGTGTAAACTGTCAATTCAGTTGGAGTTTAATTTGTACATAAGAGATTAAATTAAAACTGAATTTTAGATACATAAGCATAAAAGGAATCTGGTGGATAAGAAGAAATAAGTTAAAGCTGAAATATGTATCTAACCAAATACCTTCCATATATATAGGAGATATGGAAGATGTGTTTTAATTCACATTTTAAAAGTATAGTAAAAAGATAGCCATTGCTATTTAAATATATTAATATTTTAAAGTCTTGTACAGGGTTTTTAGTCAGAAGTGATAGTTTTTCAAATTTTCTGATAAAGAAGTAATTCAAAGTGACACATAGATTTAAGAAATTAGCGTCAGACTCTTAGATGAAACTGGTTTTTAAATATGGTTGTAGTGTGATTGGTGTTGTTAGAGCCAGAAATGCATGCAATAAAAACACTTCAGTTCCCAAGTGATAGTTTTTTTTGATACTATGAAAATTGTGGAGAATAATTTACTATAGGGATTGGTTTTTTATCTTATTTGTAAGAGTAAAGTGACAATAATTAAAATTTCATGCTTGATTCAATATTATATGATACTAGGTATGGACTATGTTAGGTACAATTACATTTCTGCTTTAGAAAACTACTTATGTATATAGCAGCAGTGGAGAGATATGTATTCTTACATGACAGCTCATGACAAGCACTTCCCATGCTCTAACAGGGAAGGAAGGCAGTAACCCTCAACCTTTATCCTGTTACTGTTTGATCCTTGTGACTCTTCTCTATGGCGGTGAAATCTAATTTCAGTAGAGTCTTGAAGTTCATTGAAAAGGAATCTGATTTGATGTTTTACTAACTAGATTTTGTATACTTTTTTCCTATCATATACTCAAGTTTGAAAGCTCTTACTAAAGGTCAAAACTTTATAGAATGAAAACCAAATTTTAAGAGGAGTTTGAACTTGAAAGTCTCTGAAAAAGCAAATTAGCATTTTATGTTAAAATATTGAGCTTTGGAGTTAGTGAAAAAGAAGCCATTCTTTGTTTATATCCTGTAGGTTTGGTTCTGAAACTTGAGAAGGTATTGCTGTTATTTGAGGCTCTGGATTGTGGCAAGAAACATAGTTAAACTGGCATTTTAGTAATCTTAATTACCTATTGTTTAGATAAATACTAGAATTCATAACTGTCAAATGTTAAGGTAGAGATAACTCATTTAATTCAACTGCTTTTGGGGGGTATTCAAAATAGTTGGAGGTATGTTGATTTAAAAATAGTGTTTTCTTCATTACAAGTGCTGTGCAGTTCATCAGTGATGAGTACTACTACTAATAAAATTTCCATTTATTAATTCGCCCGTATTAGATATCTTTACCCCATGTTTCCCTTGGCATTCGTGCCTCTATTCCTCCTTAGAAAGCATCATCTCTTTGTTTTAAAAAAGTTGTTGAATCTCATATTTTGAAATAAAATGTTGAAAATTGAAGTATAGTTTCTTTCTATTGAAGAACATTTAGATTTCAGATATATAGATTGATATTCTTTTAAAATCTGTTTTTGCATACTTAAAAGTGACTTTTAACTGCTTAATAAATTTAACTAGGTGGGTTTGGTCTGATAACATTATTCTTTGTGGCAGATCTTTCATTAGGAAATGAGGTTTTTTCACATCTGAGTTTCTTCAAAAGGAGAGCATTTTACAGCAAATGTTAGAGATCCAGTTGGGTGGTTTAAAGAGGAAGGGTAATGATTATCTAAAGAAGCTTGTCGGCTATACTATGCTTCAATAAAATTTGATTGTGAGTTTTAACCATTACTATACCATTATGAAGCTGACTTTTCTTTTTATAAATGTATAAATGTTTATCATCAGATTTAGTCTTTTACATTTTAATATTGAATAGAAATTATGTTCCTTTGGAAGGCGAATTTTTCCTCTGAAGTTACTAAGTTAACATTTTCTTTAAGATAAATAATATGGTTCTTACCGAAACAGATAGCATTAATCTTCAGGATAGAGTAAAGAATTGAGGTACTGAAGATGGAAAATCTGTGTTTGTTAAAAGAGCATTTATCTCTGTTTTAACTTACACATTCTAGCAATGAGACTTTCTCCTTTAATCCTTCATATTGGGATTATTAATAAATGCAAGCACTCCGAGGTACTGAAGATGGAAAATCTGTGTTTGTTAAAAGAGCATTTATCTCTGTTTTAACTTACGCATTCTAGCAATGAGACTTTCTCCTTTAATCCTTCATATTGGGATTATTAATAAATGCAAGCACTCCTGTTTTTATACAGGGTACCAAGTATGGTGTCCTTGGAAGAGACAAAGTTGTATACTGGACTCGAATATGGTATGTGAATCCTAATCTGAGTAAAACTGTGTAGATTATTTTTGTCACTTACTCTACAAGGGTTAAAGTGGAATAGTTTTGTAGTTATGATTTTCCTAGTTTCTTTTTGATATATAAAATGAATTTTAATTATATAATAGTCATTTTTGCTTGTTCTGGAGATACTAGAAAATTACTATATAAAGAATAGCCAGTAAAAGATAGTAATTGGGTCAGTAAATCAATATTTGAGTGCTTTTTACGTGCAGAGTCAGACTGTCATATGTCATAATGTTCACTTATGTTTAGAATTCTTTTAAGACTAATATACTTGATGTCAATGGGAATATTGTGACCCTTATATTCTAATGATCTTTGTATCTTTTTATTACAGTGAGTTAAATTTTATATTAATATTTATATTATATTATTATATTTATATTTATATTAATATTTATATAAAACATTTTATTTGATGTTCTAAATCTGACATTAATAGAAATTTAGCACACTTCCTCAATCCTGGATTAACACTAGAGTTACCTATATAAATTGCTAAAGTGTAATTGTTTGCTTGATTTGGATCACCCATAACCAATTAGAGAATCCCATGCATTTGTGGGCTCTAGTTAGTGACTAAAGCCTTTGAAATATTGGTAAAGATGGTTTTTCTCTCTTTCTCCTTTCCTTTCCCCACCTTCCTGTCCAATAAAGTTTTATAAGCAGGTCATTTTTAGATATGGAGGTGTTCCCCCCCCAAAAGATGACTGGTAAGGGGATCTTTACCCTTGACTTGGTGTTGTCAGCACCATGCTCACCCAGTGAGCTAACCGGCCATCCCTACACGGGATCCGAACCCAGGGCCTTGGTGTTATCAGCACCACATTCTCCCGAGTGAGCCACTGACCAGCCCTTAAATATGGAGGTTTTATAAGTGATTCTCTTTCATGCCTAGCCACTAATCCAACTGTGATAAAGGGAGACCCATTTGGTTTTTTTCCTGGATCCCTTTTTGACATAAGCTAAACCTCAATAGTCTGAAGAGCATTTGGTGTCTAAAATGCCTTTCTTATTTTTTAAATAGATCTATCCAGAGAGAACCACCGAGAAGCAATTGCTAGGGTCATAAGGAAACTTCTTAGTAAGTACATATGCACGTTTAACTTATTTGCACTAATAAGTATTTAGGAATTTCATTCTATAGCTTACGTGTTTTTATCTAACCTTTTTATTGCAAATGGTGGGAATATCAGGCAGTGGTTTTTTTTCCTTAACAAATGGATATTTGGCTAATGGATAGGGATTCTTACAGTAATTAAAAATATTTTTAACCAAAATCATTTTTCATCTCTCATTATAGAGTACATACTTGAAAATTCAGAAGATGATACAAAGTCATTGTTTCTTATCATAAAGGTACAATTATCTTTTAATAATTGTATAACTATTAATGTGATGAGGCTTGACTTGGTGACTTGTAAATAAAATCTGAAATTCTTTGACACAGATTATTGGAGACCTCTTGCAATTCCAAGGATCTCACAAGCATGAATTTGACTCCCGATGGAAAAGCTTTAACTTAGTAAAGAAATCAATGGAAAATCGGGTCAGTATTTTCACCTAAAAGTATGTATGAATTTTTTAAAAAGATGTATAGTAACCTCCTGATTTGGGGATTATTAAGCATATGGAGGAAGTTTCCTTATAAGTAAAAATAGTAGATTTTAAAATATTATATATAAAGGCTAAAACATCATGGTATAAATCAAATGAGTCCTAGAAAAAATGTGTTTTCCTTTTGTAAAATCTTCGGTCTGTTTCCATGATTGTGTCTGAACTCTCAATGGGAACTTGGACAACAGCATTTAGGCTGTGTTGTAAGAACTTGAAGGAATAGAAAATAGAGGAATTGTCCACAGGCATGAATTTACAGCATCACACTTTATGTAAATCTGAGAAAAATATATTTTGCCTTATATTTGTTCTCTAGTGTAAGTCAGTAAAAGTTTCTCTGGGAGCAGGGAAGAAAGAGGAGCCAAGTAAGCCAGGAGATGTTCATAGCAGTGTTCTTCTACAGGAGATTTTGGCTGAAATTGAGTCTAAAAGGGTTGTATGAGTTAATTGTTTATACAAGGGTGCTCGATATTTTAGACAGAGGGAATGGCATGTAAGAGGGCAGGGAGATGCAAAAACGTAGCATGCTTTAGGGGACAGTGACTGTAGGGAAGAGTGGTAGGAGGTAAATTAGGTTGTTTATAGTTTTGTTTGTCATGAGAAAGTGCTTCATTTGGGTTTTTTGGGGGTTTTTTTTTTTTTTGCTTTTTGTTTTTTCATGTATTTTTTTGGTGGCTGGCTGGTACAGGGTTATCAGCACCACAGTCTAACCAACTGAACTAACTGGCCAACCCTGGTGCTTCAGTTTTATTTTCAGCAGTGGGAAAGCCATGAAAGGTTCTTAAGTAGATCTGATTTGAATATTGTAATAATCAATATTCAGTTCACTAAATATTGAGAAGCTCTGCCACCACTGTGAAAAATCAGTACTAATAGATTGAGACTGGAAGCAGTTAAACTATTACTACAGTTCAGGTGAAAAAACACCACCTGAATCAAGTCACTGGTATTAGAATGGAGATAAGGTGTTTTGAAAAAGGTGGAATTGTGGGAACTTGATGACTAATGAGATAAAGGTGTGAAAAAGGAATAAGTCTTTGCGTCCCAGATATCTGCCTCTGGTGACTAGTTGGAAGATTATGTGGATAAAACCTTAAAAAAAAAAGAAAAAACTTAAATGATAATTTTTAGAGATATAAAAGATATTGTTATATTCTGGAGTAAACATGTATGATTACCTTGAAAGCCTATTTATAAGTGTTAACAGAGCCAAGCTGTTTTTGTATGTTTAGTATTTAACTGAATAAGGACCACCTCTATTGGTCTCTCATGCATGGTCCATTAATAAACTATCAGAGAAAAACAGGGTGTTGGATGGGCCATTTAAAAGGAGGATATTTCTTCTATTAGTCATTAAAGTAATTGAGGTAGTATATTTTAATGTAAGTCTGACAGCTTTAGAATGAATGCAATACCACCATCACTCATCAGCCTAACATGGGCCTCTTTTTTTTTGGCGGTTAGCTGGTATGGGGATCTGAACCTTCATCCTTAGTGTTACAAGGCTATGTTCTAACCAACTGAACCAACCAGGCCGCCCTACCATGGGCCTTTTTTGAACTAATTTTTTATTAAGGGATTCAGAGGAATCCATTATTGAGATTATTTAGGAAAAATGTTAAGTGTTTGCTACTTTGTTTTCCAGCTCCATGGGAAAAAACAACATATCAGAGCACTATTGATTGACAGGGTAATGTTGCAGCATGAGGTAAATATCTTTTTCAATCAAGGTGACTTTTTTTTTTTTTTTAAGATGACTGGTAAGGGGATCTTAACCCTTGACTTGGTGTTGTCAGCACCACACTCACCCAGTGAGCTAACCAGCCACCCCTATATGGGATCTGAACCCCTGGCCGTGGTGTTATCTGACTTTTTAAAATGCCAGTTTTCCAGATGAATATTTAGTTTTTTGTGTTTTTCATAATTAAATTAATTTTTAGTAAACACTTTGAGATTTGATTTACATTGTTTTTTTCTTAGCTAAGAACACTAACTGTTGAGGGTTGTGAATACAAAAGGATACATCAAGATATGATCAGAGATCTTCTTCGTTTATCTACAAGTTCGTATAGTCAGGTAAGGCGTAACCAAGTACTCTGCCCTTCCCCACCCTACCTTTTTATTACATGAAATCTGAATATCCCCATTTTATTTATTTATTTATTTGTCCTTTTTGAGACCGGCCGCACCACGCTCAACCAGTGAGCGCTGTGAGCGCACCGGTCATCCCTATATAGGATCCAAACCCGCGGCGGGAACGCTGCTGCGCTCCCAGTGCCGTACTCTCCCGAGTGCGCCACGGGCTCAGCCCTGAATATCCCCATTTTAACAAGGAAGTTTAAATAATTTTTCCATAGTTCACACAGCTAGGAAGTAAGAAAACCAGAACTAAAAGCTAGACCCTCTTAACTCATATTGGCATAGAAAACACCTTTCAAGTTGCAAATATATTCAAGCTAATTTTGCTAGTCTTTTTAAATAATGTTTGATTTTGCTGTTTGTAATTGCTTCAGCAATTTTTTTTTTTTAATTTAAAGTTGAAAGAGAGTGCTACCACTTCATTAAATCAGATTTTGAAGGCCAGTCTGTGAAGGCCATATAATTCCTACTAGGCATTATGCTTGGGTTTCAGGAAGCTGCTACCATGTTAATTGGGGGGAGGGGTCTGTCCTTTAAGGTAGCATAGGATCAGAAGATTAAAACCAAAAACACAGTACTGGCAAAAGTAAGATATTCATGTATATCCAAATATTCTGTTTTTGTAAAATAATGTAAACTAGGTAACTAGTCTGTAATCCAGAGATTCTTACTAAAGTAATGTTTAAAAGAGTTTGAAATATGTACAATGTGTTGCTTTTACTGTAATCAGTTATTATCCATTACTGTTTAACTAGTTCATAGGCTGTAAATTTACTGAATCTTTTCTTTGGGTTCAAAATATGGGAGGTATCCTCAAGGTTCGCACTGAAAAGTTTAAGTTGTTCTGTGTTTCTTTTACTCATTTAAGTTCCTCCTAAAAAATCTGATTTTTCTTGTGTAGATAACAGAAAATCTGACTCTTCTCATCAAGAATAATTCAGAGTAAAAAGATTAGTAGTCTGCTGATTATGTTTAGCTATGTTATTAAACAAATGTATATCCAATCTCTCCTTTATCAAAAATATTTAAACCAATGTAATCTAAACTTGAATGTCATTGATGGCAATGTGTTTTCCCTTTGATGTTAAAGATAATCATTTACTCGTTTTTTAGGGCATGTGCTTTGGTACATTTTCCTGTTAATTAGAAAATATATAAATTATCATCACTTTGTTATTGATAATTCATTTAGAAATTTTTTGTAGTACATCTACCATTTAATAAAAGACCTTTTTTAATAATACTTTCTTTAGGTCAGAAATAAGGCTCAACAAACATTTTTTGCTGCCTTGGGAGCGTATAACTTCTGTTGCAGAGATATCATTCCCTTAGTTTTGGAGTTCTTACGGCCCGACAGACCAGGTGTCACACAACAACAGTTCAAGGTATTGCCTTGGGAGCGTATAACTTCTGTTGCAGAGATATCATTCCCTTAGTTTTGGAGTTCTTACAGCCCGACAGACCAGGTGTCACACAACAACAGTTCAAGGTATAGGTTTTTTCATTTTGTTTTACTATGAGAATTTTTAAACATACAGAAGAGTTGAAAGAATTCTATAGTAAACATCCTCATATCCACCTTTTGGATACTATATTTAAAATTGTTCTGTATTTGCTTTGTCACATCTGTCCATCTTTTTTTTTGTTGTTAACATATTTCAGAGTAAGTTGAAGACATCAGTACAATTCACCTTTAAACAAGCACAGTCTTTTTTCCTCTCTAGTTATTTACTTATTTACCTATTTTTGTGATCAGTGTTAAGATGGAGAAAATATAGGATTTTTTTCAGCAGACTTCTCTGAAGAGAAGAGTTGTTTAAGTTGAGCATTAGTGGCTGAGTAGCCTGGCTGGCCTGTGGGAGAGGTGAATGAAAGATCAAAAGTTTAGAGTAGCATGAGCAGCAAGAAGGAAGAGCCTGTGACAGGAAGAAACATGGTAAGTTTGAGCAACTGAGTGAAAACTTATGTGATTAGAGCAGAGAAGGAAGGAAATGACACAAGATAAGGCAAAAAATACATTCCGTAGGGATGCAGTAAAGGTAAGATATGATTACCTGTACCATCAGATAGACAGAAATGGATTGATTGAGAGAGATTTAGGAGGGAGAATAGGTAGGACTTGGCGATTGAATATGAGGGGCCTGAAAAAAGGAGGTATCAAAATTAATAAGCATTTGGATTGTACAACTGGTTATTGAGTGCATCAGAGAGAGAGAGCAGGGAGAACAGATGATGAATTAATTTGTTTGGGCAAGTTTAGTTTGAAATGGTTCCTATAAACTTTGGCAACGTCAAGAATGCAGTTAGACATCTGAATTTAAAGAACCATTTCTGTGTATGTTGATGATAATTGAAATCTGTGGGCATGGGTAACAGAGTCTAGGAGGAGAGAGAGAAGAGGACCCAGGGTCACGTGTTGAGAAACTCCTTTAGAAACTGAGTGTAAGAGCTGACTGAGATGGGAGAGGTCAGAAAGGTATCAAGAAATGAGGAAGAATCACAGAAGGCTAGTAGAGATCTTTCCAGAATGAAGACTCAATCAGCAATGTCTCTTGCTTTCTGGAGAGTGTTAAGATGAGCACTAAACATGTTCCTTGTAGTTAGCTTGTAAGACAGAGGTCAACAAACTATAGCCCAGGCTCAGGTGCTTGCTTTTGTAAATAAAAAGTTTTATGGGAACACAACAATGTCCATTCCTTTATGTATTGTATATGACTGCTTTCATGCTACAGTGGCAGAGATGAGTAGTTGAGGCAGAGACCAAATGGCCTACTATTTACTTTCTAGCCCTTTACGGGAATAGTTTGCTAACCCCTGATGTAGATGTATAAATCAAGAGTGTTGTAGAAGGTCTAACTCGTTGGATGGTATGTTGTTGGCCATATTGAGAGCAGTTTAAATGGACAAAATCAGAGAGATCAAGTAAGATCAAAATTGAAAAATATCTATTAGGTCAACAAAATTGAGGTTACCAGTGATCTTATGGAGAAGCTGTAAAGAGGAGTGGAGTACAGGGTGGGTAAGAAGCGAGACTGGAATCAAGTTAGGGTGAATATTTGTAAATAACAAGATGTTTTAATACTAATAGTCCTTTTTTATGAAAAAGGGGTACTTTAGAAAGGGTTCCTGCTGTTATCAGAATCATTCTAATAATTGGACTTTTTTTTTTTTTTTTTCGTGTCCGGAAACGGATCGCAACCCTCGGTGTTGCGCCCGTACCGGACCGGGACCGGCAGCGGGATCGCAACCCTCGGTGCTGCGCCCGCACCTCGCTCAGCCAGTGAGCGGGAACCGGTCTGCATGTGGGATCCGAACCCTCGGCGGGAGCGCCGCCGCACTTCCCAAGCGGCGCACTATAGCAGTGCGCCACCGGGCCGGCCCATAATAATTGGACTTTTATAAGTAAAAAGTACATAGTAAAATTAAGGAACCTGGTTTGTATACACTTAGTAAAATATTCAGCAACCAGGTACTAACTACTATTTAATAAGTGATATCAAACATTGTGACCTCAAATACTAAGAGTGGCACATTTCATGGCCTTTACAATATGGTAGAAGAAAATTAGAATGGAATCTATGTTCTTAGAAACATGCTTACATTTCTGTATTATCTTATTAACCATTCTTTGAGCAAACCCCTCTATTAAATGACTTAAAGAAAATATTAACGGATGACAATTAAATGTCTAGTTCAAGTTTCTAAAAGTAACATGTTAAATGCGTGAGCCTGTTTTTCTAAGCAACATCAAGCATTTAAGTAATCAATGTAAATTTAAAAACAACATGTAAGTGCATTGAGTACACCTAAATGATGCCTCTTATTTCCCATACAATTTTTTTTTTTTTTTCCCTGCAGGGTGCTTTGTATTGTCTCCTTGGAAATCACAGTGGTGTGTGCTTGGCAAACCTTCATGATTGGGACTGTATTGTACAGACTTGGCCAGCAATTGTTTCTTCAGGGCTTAGCCAAGCAATGTCCCTGGAAAAGCCATCAATAGTGAGACTATTTGATGATCTTGCAGAAAAGATTCATAGGCAATATGAAACAATTGGCTTGGACTTCACAGTAAGCAAAACCATTTTTTCATTCAAATTTTAGTGGAAATACTGCCTTGTTAAAATACATTTTATTTTTCTTATCTTTTCTTTATTTTTTTTTGATGGTTGGCCCATTCATGGATCTGAACCCTTGACCTTGGTATATCAGCATCATGCTCTAACCAAGTGAGCTAACCAACCAGCCCTCTTATCCTTTTTTTAGTAATAATATACTTGGCATTTGATTCTAACATTTTATTAAAAAAGCATTTTTCTGTTTCCTTTTTGTACTTTTAATGATCATTACTGTAGATAATAGGGTAGAATGGCAAATTGCAACATGGCTGAGTAAGAGCCAAGTCATTTTCTACCAAGAGGCTACAAAGTGTTATTACATTGTTGTATTTACCATTACTCCATGTGTGCGATGACTTCCTTTTTCAAAGAGATTGATTATATTTTAGGAGGTTAGCCACAGTAGCCCAAGTCACAAAAGATTGACTGCTGGGTTCATAATTTATAGTGAAGAAAATTAAAGTGGGATGATTTGAGAAATGAAAGAGTAAAGAATATAAGATTCAGTGGTGCTCAAGTAGACAGATGTAGCAGATCATCTAAGAACTTTCAAATGCATATTCACACCCCATCAGAATATGGGGATGGGTAAAAGAAGAGTGAGTGTGGTTAATCATCTTCTTTCTTAAAATGATTATGGTTGACATCCCTCCCCTGGGTTAAAAACCATTGCTTTTAAATGTATTCTTTTTAATAAAACAAGTCTTGATATTTGCAACTGTTGTTAGATTATGCTTTCTTTTTTTAAAAAAAAATTAAATTGAAATGTAATTCACAAACAGCAAAATTCACCCTTTTAACATGTACAGTTGTATACCTATATATTCACAATAGTGTATTCACAGGATGATGTAATCATTACCACTCTAATTCCAGAACACTTTCATTACCCAAAAAGAGGCCCTGTACCCAAAAGCAATCGCTTCCCATTCCCCCACCTCCCTAATCCCTGGAAACCACTAGTCTACTTTCTCTGTGAATTTGTCCATTATTAGGCACTTCTGTAAATCGGTCATAAAATATTTGGCCGTTTGTGCATGGCTTCTTTAACTTAGCATAACGTTTTCAAGGTTCATCCATGTTGTAGTGTGTATCAGAACTTAATTTTTTTCCATGGTTTTTTCTTTTTAACAAGATTCCAAAGTCTTGTGTTGCAATAGCAGAATTACTTCAGCAGTCAAAAAATCCCTCTGTCAACCAGATAAATCTTAGCCAAGAAACAATTAAAGAAGGACTTGAACGCCAACAGGAAAAGAATGCTGATGCCCTAAGGTAACTGATGAATAGTCTGCTAATACAGATAACATTATAAATAGTAGGTTTTAAATATTTCTAAAGCATAGATCACCACAACTACTTGCTGATTTTTACACATTGAAAAAAAAATGAAAAAGTTGGGAGGTCATTATTGCAAATATCCCTAATTTTAACGTTTAGCTATGGAGGTAGAAAACACCATGTTAAAAATAAAGTTATTTTAATGTGGAATCTTTTATTCAATGTGAATTCTTTGATTTTTTTAGATAGTAATATTTCAGAGACAGCATACTTGGTACACATATCAGTCATTAAATCCTAAATTCAAGTTCAACACACATACTGCTTCATAGCTCTTCTAATAATTACTTTTTGATTAAATTTGGTATTAGTATATTAGTATATTGTTGCTGGATTCTTGGTACCAAAGCACTTGAGTGTTTCAATGATTTTGTGATTTTTATCTTTGCCTTATAATTCATATATGAATATGCCTACTTATTGTTTTCCAAAATGTCTTTATAAATAATAAACTCTCATAGCCTACCTAATGTAGTTCAGATATCTGCTATACTGTATAGATAGATCACCCCTAACTAACTGATTACTACTTATAAACTTTTTGAATGCCCACCCAGGAACAGTTCAGTTGTTCTTTGTACCTAGCCCTTCATATTCTTCTCCCTGCATCTCTGTTTATACACCTACTTTCACTCTGGCTTGGTTCTCATCAGTCTTTTGATAAGAAATAGGAGGAGGGTGAATTTGGCCAGAATCTGAACGTATGTTACATAATTTGAAGTTCATGTTAATATTATAGTAAATCAACACCTCACCTCAATTTTTTTTTTTAAAGGAACTATGAAAATTTGGTAAATGCTTTGCTAGATGGTGTGGAGCAAAGAAATCTGTAAGTGCAAAAAAATTTTTTTTTAAAGATGACCGGTAAGGGGATCTTAACCACTGACTTGGTGTTGTCAGCACCACGCTCTCCCAAGTGAGCTAACCGGCCATCCCTATATAGGGATCTGAACGCGTGGCCTTGGTGTTATCAGCACCACACTCTCCCAAGGGAGCCACAGGCTGGCCCTGTGCAAAATTTTTTTTGATTCTCAAGGCATTTATCTTAAGTACTATTGGGGTTTTCTACATGGAAGGCCATGTATGACTGTGTCACAAAAAATTATACTCTGATTTGTGTATTCTATTAGAAGATGACTGAGAGGTAAAGAGATAGAGGGGAAGTTTGGGGTTAATGATAGGAGCAGCGTTCTTCAATAGACCTATTTTAATTCTTGACAGACTTAAAAATCATAATATGTTTCATGTATTGATTTTTTTTTTTAAGTGGCTTTATGAGTGATGTGCTTTGTGATTTTCTCTCCACTGTTAAGGCCCTGGAAATTTGAACATATAGGCATTGGGCTTCTGTCTCTACTCTTGAGAGATGACCGAGTGTTGCCTCTTCGTGCCATAAGGTTTTTTGTTGAGAATCTCAACCATGATGCAATCGTAGTTCGAAAGGTAGATACTGTATTTTAGTTATGAACTTGGTTATAAGAATATTTACCTCATCTGAAGTCTTTAAGTTCTTCACAAACAATACACACTTATTAAATATCTTTATGTGTATTGATTTGGAATCTCCCCCTATTGCTTCTGAGATAATAATTTATCTAACAAATATATGAGGACACATTTAGTCACTGAGCATTTCAGCACTGAGCTATAGCAAGGAATAAGTACAAGGGTACTTCACAAAGTTCATGGAAAAGTAGAGTTGAAAGACAAACGAATTTTTCCATGAACTTTGGGGAGTACACTTTTATATAGGCTATGGGAAAGATTGACTTTGAAAAATTAGAAAATTAGGCATTCATTGTTCCAGGAGGGGAAAGAAATCTGAGGGTACTGCTTTTTGTTTTTATTCTCAAAGTACTAGAGGTGAGGTACAAGGTAGTTAATGGTGGGACGCTGGCTTAGCCTAGTGCATTGGAGAAAAACTCTTAAAAAAACCCATAGGCTAAGATTTGAAGAATGTGTAGGTATTGGTTTAACAAAGAAAGGGTCAGAATTTTCTAGGCAACAAAACTAGCATGGGTGAAGGTTCAGGAATAAGAACTGCAAATGACTCATTCCAAGTCAGATTTAGTACTCACATGGCTATACCACCAGACGTCCATGGGTGAGGTGTTTCCAAAAGAAACAAAATCCTGCTTCTGCTTTGAGTAAAGCAGGCAACGATTTAAGAGATTTAAAACTTTTGATACATGTACCTTACCTGTTTTCTAGATGGCTATCTCAGCTGTTGCTGGTATTCTCAAACAGCTAAAAAGAACCCACAAAAAGCTGACCATCAACCCCTATGAAATCAGTAAGTAAATAATAGTGCTTTTCAATAAAGCTCAGAAAACATCCCTGAAATGTGTAAATTATATTTCTTGATCTCAAATGTTATTGATATTAACACAAAGTATGAAATAATGTTATGAAGGAAACAGTTGCTTAGTAAAAACTAGTTATAAAAAGTGTTTACAAAAATAGATTGACTCTTTATATTTTCATAATACATTTACCTTTTGCGCACTTTGGGCAAACATGTCATCTATTTTATGTCATTTATCTCACCCACTAAGCAATTATACTGGTTATTTATCAACTATATTTCAAAGACTTAAAATACCATTATCAGTTAAGTGTTTCTCTCTGGGTGGTGGGATTATGGACAATGTTAATTTTCTTCTTTATACCTTACTGTATTATCAGAATTTTTGAAGAGAAAAAACCATTTTTTTCTGGTCTATGATGCAGTCGAGGATTAAAACATTGCATTTAGTTGTCATGTATGTTTAGTCTCCTTTAAATGCAGTGTTTAAACCTGGATTGAATTGTAGACCAGAAAAAAAAGTTTATAATTTAATTTTGTTTTCTTTTGATATAAAGGACATTCAGTGCCCAGTTGGCAAAATTTAAGTAAGGTCTGTTGGTGAAATAATAGTACAGTATCAATGTTAACTTTTTGATTTTGAGAATTGTGTTTTGGTTATATAAAAGAATGTTCTTATTTATAGGAAATACACACTGAAATACCTGGGGGTAATGGGACATTATGTCTACAGTTGACACTCAAATGGTTTCGATAAACAAGTGTGAAGTATGTATCATACTTGATTTTCTCCTCCCAAGTAACTATCCCATCACCATTTAGTGGATAATCTCATCTTTTCCTCTCTGGTTTGAAATGCTCCCTTAATTGCTCATATGTGTTCTTTTGTTGAGAGAATTTTAATAGATAGCATCTTGTTATGAAGACAAAGATACAGTAGTGTTGATTGAAAGTTGAGAATAATTGTTGGATGAATGTTTTAAAATTCAGCAAGTGTGATTGTCTTTTCCCTAGGTGGATATCCTAAACCCACCCAAATTCTTGCTGGTGATAGGCCTGATAACCATTGGTTGCACTATGATAGCAAAAGTATACCAAGAACTAAAAAAGAATGGGAGTCAAGTTGCTTTGTGGAAAAAACTCACTGGGGTTACTACACCTGGCCAAAGTAAGTTGTAGCTTACTGTGCACCTTATCGTTAAACAGCTTTATCATATTTGGATTTCTGGGGAGGCACTTGAAGTTTTTTTCCTTTTCCCTGTTCCTCTCTTTCTTTTGCTCCTGCCAATGCTATGCCTCATTCCTGCCTCTTTTCTTTTACTAAAACCCTTAGCCTTTCTTAATACCACCATATGGCTAAAGAGGTTGTTAATAGCTGCTCTAAATTATATTCCTACCTATTAATAATACACATGCCTAAAGTAGCCCAGAGAAATATTTGTCAGTCATTGTTGGCTCCAATAATTTATGTCATTAGGACACAGTGATCTGATAAATTTTTAAGGCCGAGACTGTGAATCGATTGTACTTGTATCCCCATGCTTAGCATTTAGTTAGAGTTCATTAAAAGTGCCTTATAATGCTTTCTATCCATAAAGCTCTAATATTTTTTTCTATGTGTATTACAAATATAAACTCTCACTGTGTAGGAATATGGTTGTTTATGCTGGTGTGGAAGAGCAGCCTAAGCTTGGCAGAAGCAGGGAGGATATGTCAGAGGTAAGCATTCCATGTCACCACAGTTCAAATGCATCTTATTTTTGGCCGCTGATTTATTTCAGTGTTAGTTCGGGCCTTTTTTCCAATTCATGTATTTCAATATAGCACTGAGTAAATATTGGTGAGTGTGTACTCCTCCAGGGCCAGCTGACACAGTCTTGAAGTATCTAAGGTTTCTGTCCATGTATCTGAGGTTGCTCTCAAGTAACTACCCCCTTTAGCACTCCCTGGGGTACTGCTTTATGCAGGTAGCTGCTAGTTTCTTGTGTCAGTTCTGTCTCATACAAGCTTCTTGAAGGCAAAAATAATGACTGATTTTTAGTTTTTTATTGCATACGAATGATGGGTACTCAATAAATAGATATTTGTAAATCTAAGTCAAAACTCCTTAGTGTTCATTGAACTTATTTCTTTATCACTTTGAAAGTTGATTAAGGGCTTTTAAATTTATGTCTTCGTCAAGTTAATGGTGTTGTAACTTTTATTTTCTGATTCTGAACATAGTTTGCCTCTTAACTTCTGGTGTTATATAAATATGGAAATGATTTGTTTGGGGGATTTTAATAAATTGCATACCAGGTAACACAACAGCATTGTCTTCATTTCCTAAGCAGAACGTTTGTTGGTTTTAATTCACAGTATGAGAAACAGGATCCAAACTTGAGGATCAGAACGAAAACTAGCTATTTTTATCGGTTTAGCATTTTCACGGGGAGATGTTATATTGGTTCTAGAAAGCATTATAGTCTCTATGAGAACATAATTCTTTAGAACTCAAATACATCCTACAGTTGGTTAGAGCATGGTGTTATGGGTCAAGGATCCCAGTACAGGCCAGCTGTCCACTCCTCAGACTGCCCCTCACCCCCCCATACAGCCTGCTGTTGAGTATCAAAATCTTATAATTGAATTTAACCTTTTTTCAGAATCGCGTTTTTAAATAGATTTAAACCCTGAATATTGTTCTTTTTTTTTAACTTTATAGGCAGAACAGATTATATTTGATCATTTTTCTGATCCTAAATTTGTTCAACAGTTAATAACTTTTCTATCTTTAGAAGACAGAAAAGGAAAAGATAAGTTTAATCCCCGACGTTTTTGCCTCTTTAAGGTAACTATATTATTTATATACTCCCTTTATAAAACTTGTGACTATTCAGTTTGTAGGTTCTTCATAAGTTTTAAATATTTGATCAAGTTTTAGTTCAGCCATCTGTCTTTATCTAAAATGGCACTGGAATTTATACCAATCATATCGATGTTGGCTTACGGCTCAGGACTCTCTTAAAAAAAAAAAAAACTTTTTAATATTTATCTTTTGCATATTTTGTGTTTATTTCTCTTATTGAAGTGTGATATTTTTAAAGTCAGAAAGATTATTAATGTCTATTTTATTGGTTACATTTTAATGTGATACGTAAAATGACAGTATTCTTATTTTAACTTATAAACATTGTTAAAGCAATTAAGCTCTAAAGGGGAGAACAGTTGGAGTTTTTAAGCACAGGAGCAATATAGAAAGTAATTATAAGCATTATTATCGTTATAATTGAGACAATAGTTATTTGAGTACTGAAGAATGTTCTTCTTTGTTTTTATAGGGTATATTCAGAAATTTTGATGATGCCTTTCTGCCAGTTTTGAAGCCCCATTTAGAACGTTTAGTTGCAGATTCACATGAAAGCACCCAGCGATGTGTTGCAGAAATTATAGCTGGTTTAATCAGAGGTTCTAAGCATTGGACATTTGAAAAGGTGATGTATTTGTACAGTACATTCCCTGTTAAGACTACAGTATCTATTTATGTAGCAATTCCCAGCACATTAGATACTGATACTTAAAATATGAAATGTTTAATACCATGAAGTGTGCCAAAAATGTATATATTGCTTTTGAGGTACAGGTCACAAACTAGTGGTCTATAGGTGACATTCAGTATCTTAAAAATTTTGAATTATTTGCCAGCATTGGGGAGGGAAAATCAGGATATGGTGTATAAAACAACAACAATTAAAAAAAAGAATTCTAGTTTTCTCTTGAAAAAGAGGAAGATCCTGGAACACTGTTCCCACATAATGACAGTGTATCAATTGACTGGTGCTGCATATGGGCTTCTCCCTTCCTGAATCCTCTCTAGTTTCTCATTAAATCATTTCTCGTAGCCTCCTTGCTCATCTGCATTACTCATCTAGTCTTGTAGACAGTTTAAGTTTGTTACCGTCTTTTCAATTGTAAGATTTAGTTTTCACATAGCTGCCCTAAAGTTATTCAGTTAGCAAAATGTGCTATACTGAAAGTAATCTGGTTAAATGTCAAGAATGACTGAATGTAAGCTAAGCCACTATTTCTTCAGAGAGAAGACACAAAAACGGTTTTTGGCCAAATTTTCAGAGGACTATGAACACTTTTGCTCATGAAACAATCCATGAAAGAATAGGAGGACTATGAGTTCTTTTGCTTATAAGAAACAATTTTACTTAAACATTTCACACATATCCTTGTCATCCTATCTGTCATTACTAGAGCCACTTTTGAGTTACCTGTTTTCCAAAGTACATCTCTTTTTCCTTGTAAGTTGCCTAAGATAAAGCTTCTTCTTCTTTTTTTTAATCAATTCTTGGTGCTGCCACTGGAAATTTTATCCCAAACTCTTCATCCCCATTTGTCCTTTTTAACTAAAGTGTTGTCAATGGACCTGCAGCATGGGCATCACTTGGGAGCTTGTTAGAAAAGTAAGATCTCAGGTATCATCTGAGGAGAATCAGAATCTGCATTTTATCAATATCTCAAGGTGATTTATGTCGGGCCTCCCTGAGCCAGAGGCCGACAAAACCGAGTGGGAAGAGACCCCGGTCCAG